TCAATAATATGAAGAAAACGTCCACTCAAGAAGTACCCGAGCACAAAGAAGCAAAAAGATGGACTGAGCAAGATCCACCGCGACCGCGGTGGAACCGCGGCAGATCAAGCGTCGAGGCAGAATGCTCAGCGTTCACCGCGGTCGAGCCGCGGTCTTGCCGCAACCGCGGTGCACTGTTCACGTGTCAGGAAAATTGGAGACCAAAGTGTAAATTCGGGAAACCTTGTTACAAACCCTTGTAAGCTGTAGAAACTCACCCAAGATTGGGTTAAGCTTGTTTTTAGACTACTTGGGAGGCAAGAACAAGTGTGAGAAGATCAACCAACCATTAGAGTTTTTCTATCTCCTTTTATTTTCTTGCAATTACCCATTATGAATAATTTCGTAGTTTTATCCTGTTTTGTCATGAGTAGCTATTTTCCTAGTCTAGGGTTTTGATGGAACCTATTGAAGGATGAATTTCTTGTTATGTTAATATAGTTTGCCCAGTTTAAATCTCTATTTGTTCAACTACGTTCTTGTTGTAGTTAATTGATAGGATCCTCAATTAGCTGTGCCTAGTGTGCATAACTCAGGAGAGGGTGCATATTTAGGTAATTGTGAACAACACCACTCCCAAAGTATAAGAGGGATCAATAACTGAGGGTTTAAAGGCAGGATTAGGGATAACGAAGCATTGGGTGTAGTCTAAAGTGAGCTATAATAAATATAGTCAGTTAGCGTATCTCGGGAGAGTGCGTCTAGTAAATTATCGTGATTACTCGGGAGAGATTTACGGTAATAAGAGTGCTTATGATTGATAGAGATTATTGGCTGAATCTAGGTGAAACATAACCCGAAGGGATTCCATCAATAGGGGAAATTAAAACCTTAGAATCTTCTCTTAGTTGTTTACAACTTAATCATAGTTAGTTTTCAGCTACTTATTTACATTCGTTCTTAGTTAGTAGAAATACCTCCAATTGTTATTTACAACGTTTGGGAAGTTGATTCTGTGGAATTTAGTAAGTCTAACAAAAGTAATTGATAGGTTAATTTCTTGTGGGTTCGACTCTGGGCCTTTTTACAAAGCATAGTTGGGCGTGATCATAAACTAATTCATGCGATCATTCTGGACGTAGTCATTTGTTTAATTCTCAAAGAGAGTGATTTGCAAGCTATAGTAGTATCCTAACAGCATGCAATATTCAACAGAGAAATAGAAGTCTTAGATCAAATCTCAATTCGTCAAATGACCACATATTAACAGAGATTAAAAGGACCTAAGTATCCTTGTAGCCATACCCTTTACAATACAAAGGAAATAAAGACATTGAAGCGATGTTTAAGACACGGGAAGGAAAGCTATAGTCAGATTCATGTATGCAGATGATTTTGAACCTCTAGTCATGGTATCTAGTTTTGTCAGTAACCTCGTTACATATCTACTTTACATTTTGAAAGTAAACGCAAATAGCAGATAACCTATGTTATTTTATTTTTTCTAGCTACCGGTTTACACATATACTCTTTAAAGTTCATAAATTATTCAGTCCAAAGCAAGAGCATGTACAAAAGAATGAAAGTCAGAAGACATCGGTGCGTCAATACGAACAAGAAAGACGCACATTCACATTAGCATTTCAGACAAATTCAGATCATGACCTTAAACAAATACATTACTAAAAAAGATTTCTAGCTTTTTATTAACATGGAGTATGCACTTCAAGTTTCGATGTCTGAAACATGAAAACAGATTAACAATGGGAACTACAGAAGCTTCTAGCATTAAAACTCTAAAAGATTTCATATTTCTTTAAAGAAATCTGTTCATAATTCTTAGACTCCATTTGTCATTTTATTAGCTATACTAAACATACAAAAACAGGAAACTTAAACATGAATTCCTAAACAGAACAAATTTTGAAAAGGTAATAGATGAAAATACAAGAAAGGAGTCGAATCTACCGTTTGTGGGGCAGTGAACTGGGGCGTCGAACCTCGAACCTACTCTATATTGACACGAACAGATCCGAACTTCGAGCCGAACGAGTTCGAGTATCTCTGTTATGGCCAAAGTAAGCCGAGACAGAAAGAATAAGTTCTAAAAGAAATTCTTAGAGTTTTTTAGAGGTGATATCAGCAGCGAGAGTAAAAAATGATAGTATTCGAGCGGAGCACAATTTGTGTGATGTAGGCTGTGCCTAAGATTGTTCTCTCTGAGATTGGCCAGGGAGCTAGAGATGTATTTATAGACGGAATTGAAATCGTAGAGTTTCATTTAGGCGGGCAAATCTCAAAATCGTTCAAGAGTCACGTGTAAGGGCTTGATTTCAAAATACAACCGTTGAATCAGAGAAGAAAACAAACATGTAATTGAAAAGAGCCGTTGATAGCTCAAAATAGGTGGATTCCTCAGTCATGTGTCTCTATACTCACTGGAATGATGAAAGAAAAAGAAGAGAGAGGGGAACGTCTGATAATTTAGAAGAGAGACAAGTCTTGCGTGAAAATGGAGGCAGCAATGTCTGGTTTGGAGATTATAGGAGCTTGGAAGTTTTTCTAGAAATGGCGAAGATGACAAGGAAATGGATAGAGGTACTGCTGTATTTTTACTAGGGTTAAAATTAGGGGAGTGAAATATTTTAAGGGGGAGTTGGGCCGATTGGGTTGGAGCTAACTGATTGAGAAGACAACATTTGGGCTTTTTGTTTGGACGAAAATGGAAAAATCCCTTCTTCTTCTTCTTCTTGTATTCTTTCAAGCTTCTAAGTTGGGTCATACTTAGTCTTTTAAACACATTGTACAATACTATTAAATGAACAATAGTAATAATAATATTAGTAATTAATAACAATAATAATAATAATATATTGTTTAGTATTAGTAGTAGTAGTAATAATAATAATAATAATAATAGTCTAATACTAATAATAATAATAATATAAATAGTAATACTTATACAAATATTAATACTAATGACAATGGTAACAAAAATAAGGTATTCGGTTTATTATAACTTAGAAGCTCAAGAAAATTAATTAGAAGAAAGGAGGGACAAAATTGGATGTCAACAAAAACCCTAGATAACAAATTAGCTATTCATAATAGTATGCATAACTGCAATACTAGAATTCATAACCAATAATGAAAATAGGAAAAAGGAAGGGAAAAACTCGTAGAAGAATTCTCCGCTTTGCTCCTAGTATGTTCTTGCCTCCTTAGGTCGAATCCCCGATCTCCTTAGCCTCCTTAGGTCTAAATTATGTCAAAAGTATGCCCCCCCTCAAAATAGCGTTTTTACATGTATTTCTACCAAGCAAGGTCGGGCCCAGACAAAAATACCTTCTCCCACGCGAAATAGGACAATCACTCCATAAAATTTGCACTACCGTACCGCATGGGGTGACGTACTATGCGGGTGGCAGTGAGAAAGTTCAGATTGCTAATTCTGACAGGCTTCAGGAAATTTCCACAAGCGCGGCGCACCCCGCGCCGCTCCATGCGTTGTGATAGTGGGAATTCGTGAAAATACAAAACATTAAAGTTGTAGCCCTTTCAAATAGCTTTCCAATGATATATTGTGGAGCCCAAATGGAGTTTTGAACGACAAGTTATGTGCATTTTACTAGACAATACGTCGTATGCCCACTCGATTCTCCGTTTCGTTCTTAACTATCATCCGTTGATCCCCGAACACGATCTCAGCTTAATTCTTTGGGCTTTTACTCAGACTGCGAAGCTCCAAATCACTTGAATTCATTTCATAATATCTACATAGCTTGGAATCACTCCTACAAGGCATAAAATACACAATTAGTGCAAAACAATAGCGATTAAAGCTCACACTCAATTAAATTGCAGTACATTAGAGTGTAATAAGCGACTAAAATACACAATTATAGCCTATCATCAAATTACAAGATTGCTTTTTAATTTCTTTTATTTTTGTTTTTATTTTAATTTATTTTCTTTATAACTTTTTATTTCAACTATTTTAATTTCTTTTTATTTTTTTTTATTTTATTTAATTTATTTCTTATTTAATTTTAAAAAATATTTTCTTCCTACATTATTTATCTTTACTTCTCTACCTTTACTTCTTGTAATTCTATGTAATTACTTGTATATTTTATTTCTTATTTATTTTATTTTCTTCATTTAGTGTACGTGCGTTATTATTCTAGTTTTTGAAACTACACCCCATAATATTAGAAATAATGAGTCATTAACAAACTTGGCATATAATGAGTAATGTCATTAAAGTAGAATTTTATTATTGAATGAAGTTATAAACTTATTATGTTTTCTAATCTTAAGTTGTATTGGAACTTATTTTTTATTATGTTGGAATTTGACATAATTTTTTTTTGTTTTTGAATTTTGAAATTGTGTTATGTTTATGGTTCCAATTTACTTGTTTTAGTAGTATTGACTTGCTATTTCACATTACATATTGTTCATTTTTTAGTTAAAATGGATAGATTACTTTTGTCAATCATTTGAATAATGTCATGATATTATATTTATAAATGTTAATTTATTTTATCAAACATACATTTTGTTCTTACAAAAACGTATGTTTTTATTTTTTATAATTAATTAAAGCAAAACAATATTAGTTATAAATACATGACTACTAATTAATGTATATTCAAGAAATATGCATCTTAAATACCAATTCTACTATCATTTATACTTATATTTTTTTTAAATTTTTGATAATTACTTCATCTAAAATTTAATCTAACTGTGTAAGTTATCGTAATTACTATGTTTTATAATTATTAAGTTGTGTAATTATTATCATAATAATTATACCAATTCTAACTACCAAACAGAGCCTAGAGGATTTTACGGGCTAACACTGGAGTGAAAACACACGTTTGGCCGGTCAATGGGAGGTATTCACGAGACAATTTTGGCAAGAAAATGTCTATTTGATCATAGCAAAATTAAAGTGTCTATTTAACATTTGGTAGTATCAACTTGTATTCAAATTATGCCTATCAGTGATCTTTTAATAAAATTATAAAAGGGCTTTATATGCAATTAATATGCTCTCTTTTCTTCCTCCTTCCAAGGTCAGTACGCGCCACTGCAAAACCTTAGCTCAAAAACCCTACCTACTTCAAACTCCTGATAACACACCCACCACCTTCATCGTGCTTCCAAACAATGGTCAACAAGTCTAAAGCTCAGAAGAAGCAAAAGCGTGGTGTTGATTTCAAAGTAAAAATTCCATTCAATAATTTTTCAATCAATTTCTGTTTCTTTTTTCTTTTAACATGCTTAAGAATTGATCTGCAGAAAATAAAAAGGAAAATTGGAAGAAAATTGCCTCCGGCCCAGAATGCTACTAACACTGAAATCAAATCCAAAGGTAAAGAAAAATGGTGATCTTGGTTAGTTATATTTTGCCTATGTGTGTATATACGATTTCTATTCTTGTAACAAGGTAAAAAGTGGTAAATAGATGACTCCTTTTTTTTGGACCGTAACAGCCATTTTTTTGTATTAAGTTAATGCCTTGAACCATTTTGGTTTCCATTTAGTGATGTAAATTTTGATCAAAATGGTGTAATATAAAGGTGTCTATGCAGTTGAGGAAGATTGACGGATTAAAGTATGTTTTTATTAATGACTTAATCAACTGCAGCAATTATTCTACCTGAGCAAAGTGTAGCTTCAGAGAAGGCTGGTTTAGCTGTGAGCAAGAAAGGTTTAACGTTGAAAGAGCTTCTTCAGCAGACAGGTCATCACAATGCTAAAGTTCGTAAAGGTACTAACTTGTAAACATTATTGCGGTAAAGGGCAAAAAGTTTTTAAAAAATAAAAAATAAAACATAAACTGCATCATGTAATGTTATATCTATTTGCTACATATATGTTTTGTATACATTTGGCACTTGCATTCTCTATATTTTCTTCTTTTTGCTTTTTCTCTTTTCGTTTTTTTGGGGTTTCTATTAGAAAAGAAACTTTCAAGTGGCAGTGTTTTTTTTTTTTTTTAATCAATAAAAGAGTAACATTTATATAAGAAACCAGCAACTGGAAGATGGTGGGAAAGTCAAGGTGCATATAAGCTAGCCTAGATACCATAGTAAAATAATTAAAATAAGAAGATGCCGGGAATTTACAGGTCATGTAATGAGCTAACAACATCCAACAAGGCGCTAGGGTAAGAAGTATTTACATCAGCCATGTTTCACCAAAAATGAAGCAAAAGAACACAAGTGACAGTGTTATGATTATAGAAGATGAAATTATGTCATTTGTTAGAGCTAGTGTTTCACTAGTTTAAGTTTACTTTGTGTTTCTTCTTTAATTCATTTTGTTCCTTTGATTAAAAAAAAGATTAGGTTTCTTACAAAACATCCTATATTGAGTAGGGCAAGTGTTTTGAGATTGCAAAGCATTTGCTATCCTATTCTATTGCGTTTCGGCCTTATTTCTCATCTTTATAGTCAATGGCATAATGTGGTAGTTAACCATGCTCAATTTCTTTTGACTTCCAGATGCTTTAATTGGAATTAGAGATGTTCTTCTTAAATTCCCTGCTGAATTGAAACTGCATAAGCTTGCTGTTATTGAGAAACTACGTGAACGTATCAGTGACGATGATAAATTGGTCCGTGAAACACTCTATCAGCTTCTCAAGTCAGTTATTTTTCCTGGCTGTAAAGAGGTAGTTTCTAAACCATTTTCTTCCAGTCCTCTCTTTAGCACCTGACATGGTTTCTATGGGTAAAAGTGCATTTGCTATCTATACTACAATACTTCCCAGAGCACGTATTCATCACCTGAAGTAGTTGCCAACTTGCCGTGCGCTATAATCGACTTAAGTGACTGCTGTTTTTCTTGCTGCACTTATTTTACTTATTTTAAGTGGTTTTTTTAGTGACACTAACAACTAGTTTCCCCAACCCCGAACCTTTTTAACTCTAAGTGGAAGAAACATGCTTCAATGATCTGGTCAGATCGTCAAATTGACAAATCATAGCTGGTGTACGTCAAATGGTCATCTATCGAGAACTCATGTACCCCATTTCTCAAGACTCAGGTTCTCATATACATCGAGTTTCCTCTAACTATTTTGTTCCTCTTATAAATTATCTATGTTGCGCGGACTCTCCAAAATGTAAACGCACCCGTGTCGGATCCTTCAAAAATGCACTACTTTTGGAGGATCCGACACATATCCGGCCACATTTTCGGAGAGTCCGAGCAACATAGTAAATCATAGGCATGCTTGTAGTGCTTAGCATTTCGTAACACAATTTTTGCTTGTTTCAAGAGCTATCCTTTACTGTAGTTCTCTATAATTTCGTCAATGGAATAAGGGCAACGAGTGTATGATGCTTTTTTCATACTACCTGGCCTTCACGTATAACTTCCTAGACAGTTTTCTTCTTATCTTAAATGGAAAAAGGAGAAGGGGGGTTGAGGCTTACCACATAAAGATTCAATATGTGAGAAGTCCCTACAGGAATTTGGTCATCTATGTACGAAGACCTTAGCAAAATGTCGTTCGTCTTTTTTTACCCTTTTAAAATAAAGTTCACACTAGACAAAATAGTCATTTGATTATTCTCCTAGATAATATTTAGGAGTCTGAAATTAAATTAGGTTTAATACTTATTAAATCTTTCCTTATTTGAATTAAGTAAGAAGTCCTTATATTTAGGACTTTAAAATTATTAAATTTTTCCTTATATAAATTTTACAATTGAAGTATGATTAAATAATATCAAATCCTTATGCGTATGAATTTTTACAGTTGAACCTTTTTTAGCTCAAAAGAGGTTATATAATTGTGCTAAATTTTAGGTGAACAATTATAATGTAAACAAAATAAAATAAAGAAAAGATTGAAGAAACTGGAAGCATTTTGCTTCGTTCTTTATGCAAGTCAGTAATTAACCTATAAATGTTGTGAGTAGTCTATGTGTGATTGGTCCACTGAGTATTAATTTTATTCTTTGATCAATAATTTGCTTAGATATGAATATTAATATAGATTTTAAAATACAATTAGAAAAAATAATTATGAAAATATTTAATAATAGCAAGAGAAAAAAAGCAAAAAGTAATTTACAAAAGTCATTTACTAACAGTACGACAAACATAAAATGCAAAAGTTCAATTTTATCATTTGATAAAAGAGTTTTTGTGGATCAAAATATAGTTATAATTAAATATTTAATATATGATATGAGCTAATATTAATAATTTGAATCATTAAAAAATAGATTATTTTCTTTAGTGATTAAAAAGATAATTAAGTATTTGAATTATTTTTTTCCCGGAGTTGAATTAACTAACTAGCGAAATAATTCAATTTTATTCCTTTCCAAATTTGTCGAATTGGTAAAATTATTTTTCAAGTTTACACAAATCTTAGAGTACATAATTTCTTTTTCATAAAAAGACCATCAGCGATAAAAGAAATATGAATATAAAACAAAATCAGTTATACTATTAAGAATTAAATTTGTTAAAATGCAAACTTTAAGAAAAAAAGGACAAAATAGTAGAAGACAAAATGTATTCATAAAGAGATTTCAAGTGAGACACAATTTAACATATTTGTATATCATATTATAAGATGTGTATAACTACGAAATAATGTATAACTAATTTAACTAAATTCATCATCTATGCATATTTAGGAGATATTGAATACAATTACTATTTTAGTGTGATAAAAAATATTTTTATCGTTTAAACAAATATTATTTTTTATTTTAACGCCAATATATATTTTTAATCGATAGACACTACATACACGTGCAACACACGTATCCTAAAACTAGTTGGAAGAATAATAGTTACGTTCTATTTGGTTGTTTGGGTACTCAGTACTCTTACAAAGTCTGATAAGGCGAGGTTACCTGCTTGTTTGTTGTTTGGTCACTAGGTTACTTTCAATGAAGCAATGCAAAATGTATATTTCCTCTGCTGGTGATTTGTTATCCACGAGTGAACAACAACAACAACAACTATCCCAGAAGTGGGGTCTGGGGAGGGTAGTGTGTACGCAGACCTTACCCCTATCTATGAAGGTAGAGAGGCTATTTCCGAAAGACCCTCGGCTCAAGAACGTAAAAAGATGGAGCAATAGAGAAACAATAGCAACAATAATGTAATAAGACAGTGTAAGCAAATAATACAATGAATAATGACAGAGATCCATGGATATGAAACTACAAGAATAGTGCCAATCCTACTGCTAATATTGACATACCGTATAGAAACAAGGGACTAGGAATAGGAAGGTACCCGACTAGTACTAGTACTACTAGTAGTAAGACAAGGCAAAACTCTAGACTGTCTATCAACCCACCACCCTAATTTTTGACTTCCACACCTTTGTATTGAGGGTCATGTCCTCGGTAAGTTGGAGCAGAGCCATGTCCTGCCTAATCACCTCACCCCAGTTCTTCTTAGGCCTCCCTCTACCCCTCCTCTGACTCGCCATGGGCAATCTCTCACACCTCCTAACCGCGGCATTAGCGTCTCTCTTCTTCACATGACCAAACCATCTCAGCCTTGATTCCCTCAACTTCTCTTCCATAGGAGTCACACCCACTTTGTCCCTAATATATTCTTTCCTAAGAAAAGATAGAGTTTGTTTCAATTGCCTTCGGATTTTACTGTTAGTTCCGTTCCTGCTTGTTAGTCTTGCGTTGTCAGATCAAGTTAAACCTTCCTTTGCATGCCTTGTTCCTGCTTGTGATTTTGCTATATCGTCTTATATTCTCTTAATATTTGGGGAGCAGATGGCTTTATTCTTCTATTCTTCTGTCTGTGATTATAATGTTGGTTGTTCAAATTCTGCAGGACTTTGTACTATGTTTCACCTATAAAAGAGGGGGCTAACGCTATTCGTTTGTGTTGCAGGATAATAAGGGACCAATTAATTCCTTGATGATGACATATATACTTAATGCAATGACAAACATGGCTATTGAAGTGCGGTTGATGGCTTTCAAATTTTTTGACCTCTTGATCCAGTATTTTCCATCATCCTTTTTATTGTACGCTGAAAAGGTAAATAAATAGATTTTTACATGTGGAAAGTTTTTACATTGCTGCAGGTTTTAACTTGATTTTTAATTTGGCATTGTTTTAAGTTGTTGACGGTAATTCTCTAACTATATTTTGATTTATCAGAAAGAACAATGTTGAATTGTGTGACTATCTCATCTAAAAGCTTAAGCTGTCAGAGAGAGCATACTTTTATTTACTTAATTATGTCTTCAACACGCCCCCTCACGTACGGGCTTGATTCTTTTTGATGAGCCAAGCATGTGGAAATTCTTTTTGATATTGGGTGGCGGTGAGACTCGAACCCAGGACCTCTGCTTGCTCTGATACCATGTTTAATTGTGCGACCATCTCATCTAAAAGTTTAAGCTATTAGAGAGAGCACACTTTTATTTACTTAATTATGTCTTCAACAAACAAAAAAAGAAACTTTATCTATATTTTCATTGACCGATACATTCTAGAAAATGCAAGTCCAGTATATTGCTCGGATTTGGGTGCTGGTATCCGATCCGGATGGGAATCTAGAGGTCAGATCCTTCATAATCTAAATTTTAAGATTCTGGGGTACAGATCCATGTACGGGTACGGGTGGGGATTCGGCTAAAAGTAATTCAGCAACAACAACAACAACAACAACAACCACCCAGTGTAATCCCACAAGGCTAAAAGTAATTCAAAATTCTAAAAATAGATCTATGCAAATATCCAAAGTTATGAGAGATATTATGTGGTAAACTTATAGGTAATGAAGTGCAACCAATAATTCAATCCTTTTTGAGAATTTCTCAAGCTATAGGCTCTAGTAGGCAGCAACTAAAATTCAATCTTTCGTTTTTTCATTTTTCGTCAAATTTTCCATGGATAGTGGTTAAAGTACTCGGTCTCGATTGACCACACCCTGTACGAATCCCATACCCTTACCCGTACCAGCATCGTGTCGACAAGGGTGCGGCAACTAAAATGAAGAGTCCGGACAACATAGTGTGGAATGTCAACTTTGAGAATGTGCTTAATAGAATTATACTTAGAATGTATCAGTCAAGGAAGATATTGTTAGAATGTATTTACATCACAAGCTGCACTATTACGAACCTTGGTACTGTGTTTTAACCCACATATTATAAGCTGTTCTCTTACTAGGGCTCGGTCATGGGCTCATTATCCACTGAGTTTAGACCGTGCACCATTGGCACTCGGCGATTCCTGGGTTATCAAAAAATAAATAAATTATATTTAGGTCACTTATCAGATTGATAATAAATGAATTATATTTAGGTTACTTATCAGAGAAGAAGAGTTTTCCTTGTGTTTTTCTCAACCCATTGCCTTCAAAATGATGAAATTGCTATTGCTGTGTAGTGCTGTTTTATTTTCTTCTTGCACCATTTTATCTGATGTAAGATTTTTATGTATCAGTGTATTGTATTTCATTTCTGTTCATTCTGTTATGGTTTATTGTCTTCGATGTCGTGATGGAGTTTTTTCTAAAAAAGCCTCTTGTTTTGTACAGATTCTCCAGAACTATGAGGACATTCTGCAGAAGAACAAATTTTACTTGCAAGACAAGGGCAGGCTAAAGAATGCTCTTGCTGGGTTGGTTCGCTGCTTGTCACTGTTACCGTGCAGTAATCAGAAAGAAGGCGACTCCTTAAGTGACAATGTACTATCTTGTTAATTATGCCATCAGCATGCTCGAGTGTATACTTTTCTGAAGTTTTATGGTTCTATGTTAATTGCAGGAAATTATTTTTTTGTATGTTAATCATAGGAAATAATTTGTTTTGGTAGTCAAGAATGTCTGCAATATATAAATTTGCAATAACTTAGCAGAATTGACATGTCTGTCTCTAATGGCGCTATAATACATACTTATGTCTTATATCCTATTCAGTTTCTGTTAGATTTTATTTTCTTTGATAAACAAATGCATGTTTTGTACTTTTCTAAGAACCCATGAGTAGGTTCTATGGAGGATTTAGCTAGCTGTCCAAGTCAGTAACTTGACCTTCCTTTAAATAATCACTGGGATGATGCTTGAAAACAGAGAAGAGGGAAGAACTTACCGTCTTTGTTCTGTTTTATAGGTGAAAATATGTAGTGGGCACCAAGGTGTTGCCTCCTTGTACAGTAATGTCCGAACACTTTGTGTACAGTATAACTCCTAACCGCCATAATCTCATTGAAAAGCTTAGCCAGTATAAGATGCTACAACATGACTTCTTGTTTAGCCTCCAAATTAAATTATACTAAAATGGGGGACCTGATGTAGAATAAATTGGAATACAGCTGTGCGATGACCCTAATAAATCGGAAAGAATACTGTAACATTTGGAATGGATGTTCTTACTTGCCATCATGGTATACAATATAAGATTGATGAGTGGCCTATCCTTGTATTTGTACTCCTGCAGATTCAGAAAAAACCCTCTGCCTATGGAGTAAGTTTTCCTGTTCCAAATATCATGCAAAAGTGGACCCTTGTAGTTACCTTCCTTTGGCGTGCATGTTACATTTTTCCTCGGTATTTCCTTCTTTATTTTTCGTCGGTATTTCCTTCTTTTTTAGGGGTGGGATGGCTAGATTGTTCTGTCAACTTGTTGTTGATATACTGCAATTTGCCCTTAATTACTGCTAAACTTGTTCTGTACTGTGCTTCCAGTTACTTTCCTTGTAAGCTTCTTCCATTCGGCGCTTACTCTTTCATTTGTATAGGATGCAGCTCGGGCTAGCTTGCATGCTTTTGACCTTGATGTCTCCAATAAATCTACTGGTAAGAATTTGCCTTGAATTGAACTTCCAGATCTGCTGCTTTCATTTCAAAGATCAGGGCTGCTTATGATAAATCCTTGCATTGGATATAAATATACTTCTTGTGTACTTAATTGCAACTTATACTTTGATGAACCTTTAAGTATTCCTACCAACCATTAGGCTATTGGTAACAACTTTATCTTCTAGATGCACAATCACATAATACCTGGTCCATGAAAGCTTCGATGATCTCCTCGATTGTGTTAAACATCTACTAAACATGGTATCAATTGTGGGGGTTATTGTTCCCCACATTTACCTAAACAAGCAAAGCATGCTCCAAATATTAACTCCATTCCCTAGTCCCAAGGGCTTTGGTCTAGTTGTAAGAGTGCAATGCCTGTTTTGTGAATTAGACACATGTCATGAGTTTGAATCCCGCAATAGACAAAAGCTTGATATTTAAGTCGAGAAGGGTAGAGTAGTAGATCCATATCCACTGAGTTTCGAACTTTGTGCTACCTGGTACTCGAAGATTTCTCAGTATCAAAAGAATAAAAATAAAAATATTAACTCTCCTCCCTATGGTATAAGCAAAAAATAACTCACCATGGAGATGTTGAAAAGCTTAACTTCCCCAAGATTAATGGACTTGGCAACTACATGTACAAATTTTTTCTGAAAAGCTGGAAATCCTTCTTAGGAGAAACATTAAAAAGGGAACTAATTTTTGTTAGGTCTCCCATGATTTAGCAATCCTAAGGAATTGATGATAGACAGTCATTTAAAGAAGTTCTAAATATTATTATAAGGCAATTGTTATCGTTTTAGTAATGCTTGGATGTTGTTCCTGAGTCCTGAGTTCTAGCGTTCTAGTTTAATGATTTTCTAGGCCCATAGACTCTTATATTAGAACGATCTTATTGGTATAGTAGCAATGTGTGATCAAAGCACTCAACATATGCTATGTTTTTGGATGTAATGAATATGGTAAAAACTAGTAGTGTCAGCTGGACCGTAAGTAACTGTGGTTGCTATTAAGATACTTTGCTTCTGGACAAGAGTCGTTTAAACTTTTTTTGCGGCACAGATTTTTGCAGCATAAATAAATCTGCAGATTTCCCTGGCAGTAACATCAGGAAAGGATTCCAGAATAGATCTGGTTCTGTAAATTTTTCTTTTTCTTTTAAATGTAAGCAAAAGGTTTCATTTGTACTTGAATCAACCAGTTGCTCTATTTACTGCATAAATTCCAGTCTCCCTTTTACGAGTCTGCAGGTAAAGGAGCTGATAAGTTCTTTAGTATCCTCTTCATCATTCAATAGATCCTATTTACGCAGAAAAGCTAAAATATTTCAAACAATTGGCTCTCAGAAAATGTAATGGAGTGGCCCTTCCTTCAAAGCGTCTCTGATCTTTCTCTCCCGATGCTCCAGCAAATGCACCATGGTGTAGTGATCCAAACTTTCTTGAACTTCTTTATCTTCACTGCTTTCCACCTCATTACTGCTTCCTTCATATTGCCTGGTACGATCCGCTAGACCCCCATAAGGGAATTTTTTTTTACAAACTCATGAGTCTTCCATATCTGCATAGTACACATAGCATATGCGACATATAGTAGTTCCTTTCCTGATCTTGCATCAGGCTTGATTATCATGTAGGGCTATGCAGCCAAAACAACATATTTTTATTGGTTATCTACAAGACAGTTTTATTGGTTAGTAACCTTTGCAAACAGATAAGCAAGGCTTTTCTGCTTTCAGTTTCTTGCTGGCTCCTTGTTCTGAAGAGATTGTATCCACTTGATGGACAACTTTCTGTGCAGTTGCTCCTCCAGATTAGTTAATCTTCCTTTGCTTCTTTCCACTCCACTCAATTCCAGCATTCCTAGCAGTTTGCCACATCATCTATCTCCCAGTCCCGACATTGGCCAAATTTGAGATTCAAATCAACTGTCTTCCTATACTGTGCAACAGTAACATCTTGTTGAGTAGCAATTCTGTTTAAGTTTAGAACTATTATATTAAAGGCCATGCCCAACCATGAATTCTCCCAAAATATCAGCTTTTTCCCATCACCCAAGTCAAAGTTGAAATACTGCTTACCTTCTAACTGCCTTCCATACTCCTGTGCTAGTTGAACTAATTGCAACTACGAAGTCATAAGCTCTTTCTCAGTGCCTGACTTGTATAGGGAGAGCAAAGTGATAAAACCTTGAGCATAAGCTGGTATCGGCCTACTACCAACTTAAAGGACAATTGTTGGGAGCTCTGATGCTAGGTCAGGAACAGTTTGAAACTCTTAAGGGTCGTTTAGTTACGGGATTAGGTCCCGGTATTGAATTTCAGATTGCATCTACCCACCGTTTGGTTATTGGTATTAGTTAATACTGGTATAAACTTTATATCAAAATCATGGTATTATCTATCCTATATAGAAGGTGGGATTATAATCCTGGTTATAATCCCAGAATTATAATCCTGGGATAACCTTATTTCGAACAAAACGGCCCCTTACTTGACTAGATGCTACACATTGTATAAGTAGAATATTTTAACACAACTAAACCAACACACATTGCTTATCTTGTCTGAACTGCCTTTTTTAGCTACATCATGTACTTTGTGAATCAATTACCAGGGCTATTCTTTTGGGAGGTGGGAGGCAAAAGAATATGGAGTTAACTCTATGCTTTATATGATGGGGTATAGTAGTCACATGACTCGGCAGTCTGGTTAAGCTTAAGCATGTTTGTCCTTTTAAAAGCAATGGTAAGAGATTAAAGAGATTGACTTGTGAGTTCCAAATTTAGCAATGCCTTTCACCTTTGATAAACAGCTTGAGACAAGAAATGCAGTTAGGGAAAAGATTCAGTATATCTAAACCAGTGTTATTAAAAGCCATCGTTTCGTCGCTTGCACAGCGAGGGTTATTGCTTCATATATGAAGTCATGCACTATAGAGAAGTGTGCACTTTAAACAATGGCTGTAAAGTGATCCAAACAAAAAGTGATCAGCTCTTTGAATCTTAACTTCGAAGAGTTGGATTGACATTGGCATTATTGTATATTGGATGTCGCAATGAGTTACTTTAATTGCAATTTGATTATCATAGTAATAAATTCACATGTGTTTGGTATTTTTTGATTTTCTGTAAATAGTGTGCTTCACATCTAGTCCTTCATTTCATGCCCCAAGGACCTTGTCCCTTTTTTGTGTATATCGCTATTAAACACACTGATCTGATCCCTGAGCATTGGAGGTCCAGAACGTATAGATTATAGAAGACCTTGGTTGAGAATTGGATTCTTAATGAATGATAATTTTGGTTCTCTCTTGCTTTCATTTCCCTTTCTCTTCTGTTAAGGGCTCACTTTCTGTTCCCTTTTCGCTTCTTTTTGGTGAAGTTACTCTTTTTCTTAGAAAAGATAAAAGATGACCGCTATTTCATCAAATTGTTCTGTGAGGATGAAGGAGGGCTGTTAANGAAATAAGGGAAAGAAAGATAATGGAAGGGAGATGTACACTTTCCTTCCCTTGTAAGTTTTCAAGAGAAAGAAGAAAAAGGAAGGGGCGAGTACCAATCTTCTTGTGGGACCCACCAATTTTTTCCCTCTTTTTCTCTTTTATTTTCCTTCCTTGTACTTTTCCCTTACCTTCTCTAGTTGCCAATCGTAGGGTTCATTTTTACCCTTGAATTGTCACAGGCATTGGCTGGGCTGTGTTTGTATTTCTTTTCCTACTGCTTTTAGCTAGACTAATATTACAAGTGTCCAGGTAATAGCGGCTGACGGAAAATAAAGAGTGTAATAGTGGCTCTAGCCTGAACATTCATGTAGAAAGGCGAAGCATTGTGAATGCTTCTTTTCTGATTGAAAACATTATCTGACTCCGTACTTCATTAAAAAAACACTATCTGACTCCATTAGAAATTTTCAAATGTTATAATGCTCTGTTAGGTTAGCCAGAATGGTTACTCCTCCTATACTCTTTTCTTCAACACAAAATGAGAAAAATCACAAGTCTATTTGGAAATTAAAAACAGAGCAGAATGCTAATGATCTTACTCAACACATAAATTGAAGGGATGGTTATTGTTTGCAAAACAATGTCTATGCATCTCATTGTTCAGCGTTAGTTGCTAGTGGTATTGCTGTTTGTTATTAGAGTAGCAAGCTACAGTGGCACACACTGTATACAAAGAAATCACTTTTTTTGTTAAGTAAATAAGATTTGTATTGGTTAGTTGCACTAAGATGCTGCATAACAGGGTAAGTCAGTAGCCTTACAGCGACCAAGCCCCTTGCTGGTCTTATCAGTGAGCTGACGGAGGAATTCCAATAAACTATCTACATCATGTTCATTTTGAAACTTACACGAAAAGGCCAGAAAAGAAAGACTACTGTACTTTAGCTTGTCGATATTTTCCTTTCTGCCCTCAAACTTCTATGATATCTTCCTTCCAAATTGACCACCATATACATATAGGAATAGTTCTCCAAAACTTCTTCTTGCCTTCGCTAGTTCCTTTCCCAGTCCAGCAAAAAGGAGTTCTTTAGTTGTTCTTGGCATAACCAATTTGACTCCAAAAATAGTGAGGTGCATCTGCCATAGCTTTGTTGCAACTGCAACAGTGTAGAAATAGGTGATTCACATCTTCTGTGTCTCTTTCACACCCGAAGCATCTATTGCTCAGGGTTAAACCTCTGTGCTAGAGGTTTGATTGAGTGAATACAGCTTCATGTGCCATCGTGCAACCGACGTAAGAGACCTTGTAAGGTGCTTTACTTCCATATTTTCTTCATTCACCACCTCTAAAATTTTCTATTGAGCTGGGATAAAGTCTTGTAGCAGGTACTTGCTGTGAAGATGCCATCCTTCTGATGTGTTCAGTGCAAAAGATCCATCATGATGTATTGCATTTGATAGCTGTTCAGTGCTTGTAGGAGTTGAGTTAGTCTCTCTATTTCGATTCATCTAAAACAAAACTCATGCACCGAGCCACTGTGGTTAGTGGGTCTTGAGCAGAGCTCTACAGATCATAGAGTTCTTCCTCCAAAGGTGATTGTCCTATCCATGTATCCTGTCAGTGCCAGAAAGAAGTGTTCCTGCCATCTCCAACTGTTATCATGATGTTGTTGGCAAAAAGACTATAGATCTCTGATATGCCTCCTGGATCCATTGCCATGTGGTCTGCTCACTTCCTTAGTACACTAGTTCTGTTGCTGTCCATACTTTTCAGTAACAGTGTCTTCCAAAGAGCATCTCTGGGGAGGTTGTATCTCCAATGCAATTTGAGGAGCAAACTCTTGTTGTGTAGCTTTATATTTATGACTCCCATGCGTCTATTTACCTTGCTTTTAATAACTGTTTCCTATTTTTCGAAATGAAAAGCTTTCCTTTCCTGTTGCCTCCTTCCCTCAAAGAGAGTCCCTTTTGATTTTGTCTAGCTTCTACATCACTGGTGATGGAATTGTGAAGAGTCACGGTGTATGTTTGAAGGACATCTCGAATACTGTTGATTGACACCATTATTTCCTGAGAGATATGAACTGTTTCTTCCAATTTGACAACTTTCTTTCATGTGTGTCCAAAATGCCTTGCCATGTCTCTGTAGCTTCGAATCTGGTTTCAATAGGGCATCTAAGATACATGATCGGTAGAGTTCCTATCTTGCAACCAAGAGTGTCTGCTAATATTGTCAGAGAATGAATAGAATTTGCTCCAGTATGTTACTTTTCCCTAGGTTTATGTGTAAAAGCTTCAAAAGGTACTAATGAAAGCATTAACTACACCTGCCTTCCATAAGTTCACAGACAATTTTCTGAAACCATGTTGCTAGATAACCGCATATCCAAAATTATGACTAAGGTGGTGACAACTGATTTGCTTTTACAGAAAAGTAATGAAGCATTAACTATGTTACTGTTTGAACCAAAACAACTAAACTTTCTGCCTTCCCTAAGTTCAGAGACACTTACTATTACTATATATGCAAAATTATGACTAAGGTGGTAACAACTGATTTGCTTTTCCAAAAGCCGTATTCATTTGGCTCGGCACTTCCATAGGGACAAAGAAATGGACAACTGAATGTACTCGATCCTTATAATCTTTCTGATTCACTTAGGTGAATAACAAGTTATCTTCGAAAGAAGTTCTCTTATAAAATACTCCATAAATAGGGACTGATAAAGATAGAAAGGCACACAAACACTCATAGGCATATAAACCTCCAACAGAAAATTGGAAAGCTAAACAGAATATACCTGAAAATTGCGTTAATGTAACTTCTCTTTTTTACCTTCTGTTACATCGGTTCAAGTTCCTCAAATGGTCTCGTTTTCTTGATGTCAATGATTGAGGGAGTTGCCTGAGGCCTGATGACTGTTTAAAATCCACTAATCCAGTTCAAGTGTTTTGCCTTTAGCATTGCGCCTTATCCTTCCTTAAACAATAATGAATAAGAAAGGCGATCAAGGGTCCCCTTGCTCCAATCCTCCATGCATTGGAGAAAAAACCTTCTGGGGACCCTTTAATGATGACTGAGAACCCGACTGTTGTTGTATGAAACCCAATCCGACTTATCCATTTATCCTGTATCATCAGTTTCAACATTTTGAGGAGAAAACCCAATTTGCAGGGTCAAAAGCTTTTTCCAGGTCTATTTTGCGCAGGAGTACGTTGATTCTCTTTTTTATCTTAGTATCCAGTAGGTGATTTGCAATTAGGCTTGTGCCCGTTTTTGTCTGCCGTTGATGAATGCTATTTATGGCTCTGCCACCAGCTCCTTTATCACCTTTTTCAAAGAAACTCTCCAATATGCTGTTTGGTCTGACATATTTTAGTCCCTTAGCAAGCAATGTGTGGGGCTTTTAGGCTCCTCTGAAAAGATTCATGTTGATGAAAGTTGTTTATGGCACTCATGAGATCTCCATTGATTACTGTCTAGCACTTTGGTAGAATGTTAGAAAGAAATCATTATGGCTTAGGGCCTTGTCGCCAGCACATTCTTTTATTGTCTCTGCTACTTCTTTCTCCGCAAGGGCTTTGCATCCAATTGCTCTGCTATGCTATGATTTGTTGGATGCTATGATCCCAAGAAGGTCTCCGTATCTCGACTTCTTTGTGCAAATTTGTATAGAATTCCAGGATACATGACTTTATCTCATGCTGCTCCTCTGTGACTCCTGTTTCTTTGGTTTTTTTAATCGTGTCAATGTTATATCTCCTTTGGGTATTAGCGTTTCTGTCCCTTGCTTGAGCCACATGCACCTTGACTTTTGTCTCCAGGAGATTTCTTCACATCTAGCAATCTCTTGTAATTCCAGCTCAGCAAGTCTTTGCATGAGTTCTTCTTCAGTCATTTCTCTTTCCTCTGCTTCTCTGTTGACTTCTAAGATCTTCCGGAGTATCTTACCCTTTCAATTTTCAGATTCCCGTATTTCATTCTTTCATATCTCTCTTTAGAGATGCTGGTTTATTAGCAAATATGAAATCAGGTCTCCCATCGAACAGGTAAGAATCCATGGTTGATTTACCATCTCCATAAAGCCAGCTGCCTTGAGGCGCATATTTTCAAACTTGAAATATGAGCTTCTTGCCTTCTTCTCTCCCACTGTCCGCATTGTAGTAAGATAGAGCTGTGTGATTGAGGATTTCCTCCTGATAGGTAATGTCTATGTCTTTATAAACAGGTCTTGAATGCTTGAACTTATTCTAAACAAAACATCTTTTGAAGAGTAAAGGTAAAGGAGATTACGAGTTACCTTGTTGAAAGCCTTATTTATTGCTAAAATTTTCATACATCTGCATCCTTGGCAATCAACATCATTGTGTAATGGATGCAATAACTTTTCTTCTTTCTTTTTTTTCCTTTTGCTTTTCGTCCTTTTGTTCATTGAAAGTAATTTTTCTCTGATTGCTCTATCTTTTTCCTTTTGCACATTGCAGGACGGTGACCGATATTTCACACTGAATATTGCAATTACAGAAATATTTTTGCAACTAAGTTACGGGTCCAAATTATCTCCTGCATTGTTGGAAAGATTTCTGGAGTTCATCGAGAGTTCTCTATCTGAAAAGGTTTGTGATGTAAAATTTATAAAAATTCAGCACAAAAACATTAAGTTCAGCTGGTTGTAATATTTTGTGCCTATGACTGAGAAGCAAGCCCGTTATTTAGTTTAAAGAAATAGAAAACTTGGGTGTTAAATTAGAGAACTAAAGGACAATAGTGTTGATGTGGGGTTAATATAGGATATAATTTGAATGATAATGATGTTCCAGGTTCTGTTAGAGTTTGGACACCTCGTAGAACCCAGATATAGAGGGCAGATGAGCAGGGGATAAGAGAATCAAGACCGACAAAACACATGGCAAGAAGCAGAAGAAAAATACAGGAAACAGATCACGTAATATTTCTGAAATATTTTTTTGGCTCAGGTCGACTGCAAAACAAAGCATTATATGCTTCATAAAGGAAAATTGAGGGAATAATAGCTTGGAAATTAAAAGGGAATGAGGTAGATCTAAACTCACATGGAAGGGGGTTATCTCAAAGGACCTATAATAAAAGACCTACAATCTTAGCTTAAAAAAAGAAAGAAATATCAGGAAAAAAAAAGGGAAGCAAAGAATCCATAAGAATGTCATGAACTAGTAGGGATTATGGCTTAGTTGTTGTTGCATTGAAATTAGGTTCAGGTGGGTATAAGTGTGGATTAGAGTTTTTAGATGATTTATAAATTGCTTTAAAGACAATTACTTTATCAATATTGGAATTAGTGGGCCTGAGTAGAGTGGAATATATAAAGGATTCATATTGGCTACCTCAATTAGTTTGGAATTGAGGCCTAGTGGATTGACTCACTGATTGATTGATAGCTTGGTAATTAAAAGCTGTGAACCTGTAAAAGATTAAGAATTTGGACAGTGAAAGGTGCAAAAGTAACAGAGGAATGAGAGTGCGTTTAGTGAAGTTACTTCATAACTATATCATCTCGAGGAATATAGACTCGTCCATAATTGTAATTGAGTAAAATAAACAGAATGTTTAATGACGAGATACTGAGTGCAGTTCATAAAATAAAATCGTGAAGCATCACTTAACCAATCGAACCTGTAAAATCATAATATCTGTGTTGGAGTACTTTATGGCTTCACAGCGATTTATTTGCAGTCAGAAACAGCTCTTTGCAATATGTAAACTAAGTTATGTACTAATATGACCAGATGTCAGTTTGCCAGTAGTTGTATTTAAATCCATCCAGATGTCAGTTTGCCAGTACATAACTTTGCCAGTAGTTGTATTTAAATCCATCCCACCCTATGTCTTAAACTTGGCTGAGAGCAGAGTACAAGAACGGTTTTTCACTTCCTAAAATTACAAATTTTTCCTTCTATCAGAAAGGGCATTTTCAATTTAATATTATTAAGAAGATGGTAGAAGAAGATCTTCTTTTATATGCTCAGATTATATTAGATAATCTTCTTACTTTTGAACACATGCACATTTGAGTAAGAAAAATTGTAGGAGTTTTTTATCTTGCTGAGTGTGGTGGATCCCTTTAATGCTCAATCAAGATCTGGGTGGTTTGGTTTCTAGAGACTAATAGGAGTGTTTACATACGTATAAGTAAGCCCTTTACTCTGTATGCAGAGAACCATAGATAGATATCTTGCTTCAAGGTTAACAGGTGTAATTTTAGGTTTTTCAGGAAAAACTCAACAAGCTTAGAAGCAATTTCTGTTTTTTTTTATTAAGGTAAGTTGTATTAATCAAAAGGGAGAGAACTCCCGTATACAGGAAGTATACCAAAAAGTAGAGAATTTACATCAGAACATGATTCTCTACAAAATACGCCCAATCTTCTATACAAATAGGGGCTATATGAGTGCACCAAAAAGCGATCAAAGATAAAAGATTATTCTTAAGATGTGAAAAAGGAGACTCAATCCCCTTAAAAGCTCTCCTATTTTTCTCTTCCCAAACTATCCGCATGAGAGCTAACGGGGCGAACTTTCACGCCTTTTGCTTTCTTCTTCTACGGAAACCGGCCCAGCTATATAACATTTCCTTTACAAAAGCAATTTCTGTAAGAGCATGTTAGATGGAACTAATTAAGAAAAATTGTTCCTGACATTGTTCAATCATTGTCAGTGTTTCTTCAATGTTTGCTAGGTTTGCAGCTTACCTGCCTGACTGTGGTGAAAAGTGGTCTGCACTCTGTTCTCCTTCGTTGCTGAACTCAGTGAGCTTGTTTTACTTGCCCCTGTCTATCAAAAAGAAAGAATAAAATGTTTACATGAATTAATGATACTTAAGTCACATTTTTCTAACACTTTAATAATGTAATGCAGGTAAATCCACTGACAATAGCTCTTCACAACAGGAAAGAATAAATAAACTAGCTTTGGCCATAAAATTAATGCACAATGGGTAGAGCTTGAGATAAAAATCTGAACTTTAATCATTACTGCTTACTTATTAGAGAAAAGGCATAAGTTGCCCCTTAAACTTGTCCGGCAAAGTCATTTACTCACTTTAACTTTACGGGCGACCCATCACCCCACTATTCTTGTTTGAAGCGAATTTATTTACCCCCTAATATGTCACAACCATATCCGATCAAAACTGTATTTTACACGCACTGACACGTGTCGTTACCATATTTTTTCCTTTTTAATTTTTTCTTCACTAGAATAAACCCTTTCCCTCACTCCACCCCATTTTTTTCCTCTTTTCTTCCTCCCGGCGTTTGTTCCCCCCTTGAGTAGACTACTCGAAATAATATAAAAAATAATTGAAGAATTTGGAAATTAGCTACATCTAATTAGGAACCCGTAAACTATTTGTCAAGCCCATTGAATTTTATAAGAAAAGTTCATATGCTGGTGATTAGAATGGAAAATGCCATGTTATTGTTCTTTATAGCTTCTCATGTTCTATGCCATGATTAATCTTTGGAGATTGTCTTTGGAATTAAATGTCAGATCTGAAGGGCATATTTTAGCTAAGTCTTTTTAGGTTGAATGTAGCAGTAATTTTTGGAATTTGGGTATGGAGGGAAATGAGGGATACTGGCAGCGAAAGGGCCAATCATGGAAATGAGAATGTAGGTTGTTGGTGGAGTTTGGAATTTTAGTTGATGGAGAGGTTTATGTGAGGTGATGGAGATGATGAAAATGGGAGCGAAAGAGGTCGGGTGGTGACAATAATTTTCCGGCCAAAAACCGGCCAAATCTTGGTCGGACAGTTATGGTGGTTTCACCATTGAAGACCAGAGACCTTAAGATTAAGGAGAACAGAAAAGAAGAAAAGGACAAAAAGAAAAAAGAGAGTAAAGAATAAGAAAAAATAAAATATGCAAAATTATTAAGAATCAATAATTAAGTATAATTAGCTAACAACACTCAATTGAAGTAGGACACGTGTACATATTAGTTAGTTTTTCACAGTTTCTTGCTTTCACGCGCTTATGGGAATGTGAAGACACATTCTTTGCCAAGTCACCTTTTAGGTGGTAAATAAATTCGCTTCAGACAAGGATAGTGGGGTGATGGGTCGCCCGTAAAGTTAAAGTGTGTAAATGACTTTGCCGGACAAGTTTAAGGGGCAACTTATGCCATTTCTCTACTTATTAAGCTCAAAGCTAAATTCTTAGAAAGCTCAAAGCTAGATTTTAAGAGTTAAGTGGTTTTACCCCAAAAAGCTTCGAATCTTTGAAAATTTATGCTTTGCTTTCTTCCAGTTTTCTCTCTCCTGTTTATTCAAGTTGTCTCTTTAGATGAGTATGTGTGTCTTAGCCCTAAATCCTGATGGTGTGCTGTAATAGAATGCCTACCATNTTATTTTTAGTTTTAGAAAACATTATTCAAAGAGATAATTAACTATAATCTTAGTAAACTAAATTTATTTTTCATTAATATTATCAATTATAATTTGTACAAATATTAATGCCGTTACCTATGCAAGTTTTAGGATAAAAAGAAGCACGAAAAAATCAAAACGCTTTGGAGCATATGATTACTTCTTTTATGTGAATTGCTTACCAAAAAAGAAAACTGCATTTTGTTCTAAGAGAAATTGGAATAAAAATAATTAAGCAAGTTTCTTTGTATAACTTATAATAGATCTTACACTCACATAAATTATTTATTTTGGTAATTAATTAATAGTTTAACAAAATTTATGTAGTAGTTTAAAATAAAAATAAATCTTAATTAGAAGTAATCAATAGCTAATCTCTAAATTCTTAAGTTATTGTATACCATAAAGCCTTGAAGAATTAATCAGCTTGGATGCAATCAAGGAGAGAATCAGTAAGGAAAAAAATAATAAGAAAAGGCAAAAGAAAAAAAAAATAGAAGAAAAACCGAACAAAAACCTTAATAGCACATGTGACCATAGGTCTCAAACTGAGGCACCAAATGCCAAATTTGACCATGGGTGCCTTCTGCCCTATATAGCAAAATATGGAAAATTTTACTCTAAAATATATTTTTATTTGTAAGTAGGATGGGTTCACAGGCCCCAAAATTCTTAATGTGTATACGCCCTGACTCCTTGTTTTTAATTGAAGGGCGAACTCCTTTTGTCTGGTTGCCATTATTTGTTTAATTGAAGGAAAAGCCATGTATTAGCAGTCATCAGAATGAGCAACTGGATTAGCTTTTGTTGCTAGGCAATTAGCACAATGTTGATGTGCCTATATGCTTTCTTCGTTGAATCTAATGTCAAATTTCATGTGATTGTAGGAGCAGGATTGGCTTTATCTGGATCCTAAGGATCTTGAAATATTTAATCATCAAATTGCGTGGATAAGGGAGCTTCCAAAGCTGTTAGTCCTCTTAGGTGATAAACACCCATTACATGCAAAGGTACCTACTTAGCTACCACCATACTGTTCTTACTCTAGATGAAATTTATGGCATATGCATATCCATTTGCTCTACAAGTTTTCATATTTAGCTGAACCATCATCTTTGTCTCCCCCATAATTGCCTCTTGTAGGCTGTGTTGCGTCTTCAACTTCGTCTTGGACAAGCTGCTAGTTTGAATGGTCCACTGGCAAAAGAATATGACAATATGCAGCACATAATACGAGATTTTTACTGCACCTGCCTCAATGGTACTTAAGATTCATTCTGATCTAATTCCATATTTTATTTCTTTCATATTTCTTAATCTCACATTATTAATTCCTCACAGGCTAACCCTTTTTCTTGCACTGTAGGAACTGTAAGCTATGGTCCGTTCATGAGGCTTCCTAGAGATATTCAGGAGCTCTCAATATGCTGCCTATATTACTTTTCTTTCTTGGACACTGTGCTACTTCAACCTTTAGTCTCATGTTGCATATGTAAGTTTAACTCCTCGACATCACTGATTTTTATCTTTCTAACTAGATGAAAATACCAAGGTCTTTTACAGAACTAACTGGCGCTCAAATTGTGAATTGTTTGAAGTGTGTGACCATCTAATCTAAGTATATGTTTAAGCTGTTAGAGAGAGCACAATATACATAATTATCTCTTCAACACGCCCCCTCACTTGCGAGCCTGATTCTTTTTCGTGGGTCAAGCACGTGGAAAATCTTTTTGATAATGGGTGGCGGTGGGACTTGAATCCATGAATTTTGCCTACTCTGGTACCATGTTAAAATAGAAAAAAATAACTTCTCATTGACTTTGTATGGTTAGGTATACCATTTGAGCCATGCTGGCACTGGGATTTTCCCATTTGGCTAGTGTTTCCATGTTGATTGTC